CCGCATTAAAGTCTTTGTACGCATCTTTACCAATTGTGCATACAACTTCACGGACTTCCTATGTCGTATTACAGACTTTGCAAACAATTTTACCAACATTGCACACGACTTTAAAAAGTTCCCACTCAGTATCACAAGCTTCTCACATACTGTCACGAACTTTGCATGCAATTTTGCGGAATTCTAACGTGATAATACACACTTTGAAGACAACTTTGCACGGGACTTTATACATTTCCCACGAAGAATTACAGGCTTTTCACTTACCATTACTAACTTGCATGTAAATTTACGGACTAACCGCATATATTAGTGACATTGTAGGCAACGTTACACAATTTGCACGCGACTCTACACACTTCCCATGCAGTATTACGTACCGTTGTGAAATTTGCATACAACTTTCGACTATGCACATAACATTACCAATTTTGCATGCAGCTTCATGGATTTCACACGTCTAAAGACTATGCCGTCAACTTTGCAAACATTGTCTGCGAATTTACATACGTCCCACGTAGCTTAACAGACTTTCCACGTACCGTTACCACGTTTGTGCATGCAGTTTCACGGACTGTGCCGTATTACATACTTTGCAGGCAGCTTTACCAACATTGCCGGCCACTTTACCAACTTTGTATGTGATTTTTCAGACTTCCCATTTGGCATTATAGATTTGCACGTACCATTGCCAACATGTAAAGCAGTTTCACTGACTTCCCACGTCATATAGCAGACTTTGCAGGCAATTTTACCAATATATCATGTGACTTTACATGCATTTTTTTTTACTGGTTTTCACCTATTTATTTCAACTTTGTATGCAACTTTTTTGGAATGTCATCATCGTATCACATACTTTGCAGGCAACTTTACCAATGTTGTAAGGGGATTTGCGCACCCCCAAATTATAACATTACAGACTTTGCACATAGCGTTATCAACTTTACATATACTTCATAGACCTCCACGTTGTATTACTGATTATCTGCTAGTAACTTCTCAAACATTTCTCGGGACTTTACACGTTTCCCACGAGTTACAAAATTGGAATACTGTGAACTGTACACTTTTCATTGATAGTAATGCACAGATGTGTAAGTATTAACTGTATTATAGCGAGTTTGCCTCTATTTCTTTGCATAAAAACGATTGAATACGATATTACGTATATGCACAAGCGCGTCTTCTTTCATTGACGTCACAGGTCGGCACCGATCATATCGTCCAAGAAGTGACATGAGTTTTTCGGAACTCAAACATTACTCGTCGGTAGGTCGAAGGATCAATTTATTTAATGTTGTAAGTTAAATGATGGTATTTGCTCCTTATTTCACAACCTTTGACCCTGCAACTAAGACTCATACTCGTTGCTATGATAATGGAATCTTCCGATTTCAAGTTGGAATTAACCAACCCCAGTTTTGCATAGTGCTTTGAGATCATCATTGAGACCGCGCTCAACAACATTGAAACGTAAATCGTGCCCTATAGCGCATAGCAACGCTAGAAAGTTGTGTTTTTCGACTTGCTGAAGGTTTTCTTCAGTTATTTTGCCCTGAAATCATAGGAAGAAGTAGCATCTACGTTTCAGACTTTTATTATTTTTATTTTGTGGGAGTAAATGAGAATTGGGTAGTGGCGTAGACTGAACCATGGCTGAACGAAATCACCTTTACGATAAAAGTCAACGCTACTCGGCTCATACGGTAATCTTCTTTTAGTCCATGGTCATTGTTTATTATGTTTTCCAGGAATACACGCGACATATTAGACTTCTACGTTACTATACTGTGGCCGTATGAAAAGAAAATGCCGTTTTGTTTTGTGTTATAATAAATGTTGTACGGATAGTAACATGACTTTACAATGTCACAATTCAGTAAAAAAAAAAACAATGAAATAGTTGCGTGAATTCCAACTGCTTTACACAATGCATAGACCCTAAAAATCTGAAGACCGTATTTATTATGTAAACCACACGCAGCTATGTAAATAAAGTACTAAACACAGCATTTTTCAATGAAAGAAGTGTTATTTTTTCGACCCGTTTTAAAATGTGTTCCACTCAGGCTGAAATCGAGGGTTTGGTTTTTACAGCGTAGTAACCTTCATTGATGTTAAAAAGTAAATTTAAAGGGCGGTGGTCGTCACGCCACATCCTGTTCGATATGGGACTCATAGCGACGTACTATACAACACGTGTGAAATATATTGTTTGTTAACACGCGCTGCGTTACGACTAGCGTTCTTTAAAGATAATACCTTTTAAATGGACTGCAGTCATTTCTGGGCTCCGATAAAATGCGATATAAGCTGTGGCTGTGGGAAATTGGTTTCTTTAGTATAGCTACTCAGAAAGCTAGTCAGAAAGCTCAGTTCATTACTAGTAAACACCAAATTGACGTTTATTCAACGGTAACACACGGATACACTGTTTCCCGTGACCTAGATGTGTGATAGGTCAATAGGAGAGCCTACCAATGATCGCAACAATAGATTAACATTGAGAATTAGACATTTAGCTGTGAAAAATCCTATAAACTCTTATAACTATAGAATTATTAGAAGCAATCAAATACACAAACTACACATCAAATCATTATAACTGCATATAAATAATACAGCAAATGTGAAATAATATAGTGAACATTCTGATATCTAATTAGACAATTCAACTTGATCAACAAACACGTCTATGATTTGTATCTCGCCGCGACATAAGTTGTACACCACAATATTGTGCTTCATTTCTAATAAATTTATTTGTAATGATATTGGTCGAAGTAAAACAAACTTATGGATGTCTAAATAAAATGTAATGTAACAAACTTACGTAGTGTGGGATTCGTATCGTTCACTCTCATGGTTTCGTCTACGACAGCAAGCTGTTATAATATAACTTGAATATTCAAGATGGTGATTCCACCAAGTGGCGCTAAGTTGTATACGATACATGTGAATATTCATCCATGTCATGTAAGCAATGAAAAATTGTTTAAACATAAACCGAGTCCATACGTGTAATATTAATTGTTATTTCTATTGCGTAAAGTTGTGCGTAAATCCTCTGCGATATATATACATATAGCGGGAGTTGTTTTTAGTAATCGTGCGTATACGAAAACAAACGTTTCATCGCAGTGTTTCGTTGAGGGCGGTCGGCTCGAAGGTTGTTTTCTGTGAATTGTCTTCTTTCCTCCAAAAAGAAAGAAATCATGCGCATGCCCAGTTTTTCACAACGCAATGTCTTATGGGAACGCCACGTTGATTGGTCTTGAGGGGTAAGGTTGACGTGGATTTCTTGGTTATCTGTCATTATTGGCCACGTAAACACAGATCGTCTTATCCGATTGTAGTCGGTTGGTTATAAGTTTAATTCGGAAGCCAGTACATTATTTTAGAGTGGAGGTGCATTTTGGATTCCCGAGTACACTGTAAGTATACCGGTGTTTTATTTTTGCCAGGAAGTGCATTTCCAATATGGCGGACTTGAATCAACACAGAACGAGTGAACACAAAGTAGTATTAATGATATTTTATGATATGTTGTCGCCTGTTAAGCACAGTCAAAAAATTATAATTCTTAACCCATTTTTGATATGCGTTTAATAATTATTAACGATCTAGGGTCACGTGCTGCTCAATGTGAACGTCCATACTGTCTTATTGTCTCGACCAGTCAACTTTCATTTTCTTGCGTATCTGGACGATGATTAACTTTTTTGTTGGAGGAATTATTTATAAATACTTGTATTGCATTGACCTTCTATCACGGCCAAAGCAAATGTCTAAGAATAATCTCGGATAAGAAAGAATGATCAACTCAACTCTAGTAACGAATTGACTGAAACCCACCAACATTATAATTCATATAATACATGCAAGAAAGATTGAATGGATTTCACCATCAAATAATGGACTTGTTTGGTGTCTCAACAACACAATGTTTTACTGAAATGCTGCATTGATCTGAGCAGTGGTCTGAAAATGCATCTTTACATAATTCTTTGTTTAAATTTGTCCACCTATTCTATAGAATTTTTTTTGGAAGAGATGGAAAAAGTTCTTTCTGTACCCCTAACCTTAACTTTAACCCTCAGTAAATACATATTAAATTGTGGAGCGCTGGACAGTAGGGGAGGGTTCAAATTAGCGTTAGGGCTGAGAGTAATTTTGTACAAAAGGAACAGATAGTATACTGTGGAATCCTTTATTTTCGCTGGAACTAATTTTTGCTGAAAAGGCTTTTTGGGCGTTTTGTATGGAATTTATTTTTACTGATTTTTGATGAGTTTAATGTGAAATATAGGAAAAAAAGTATATTCATTGGATTTTATTTTCACGGATTTATTTCTTTAGCCAAAATAGTGAAAATAAATTCCAAGCGAAAAAAAAGTATTCTACAGTAATTGAATTAACTAGTATCCAAGTTGTTTTAAAATTGATAGTTGCAATTCTTTATTCAAGTGTGATGATCCATTGTAAATATTTAATATGCATGCATTTATAAACACATATAACTACTGTAAAATGACCAATTTCACTTTAAATTTTGCAGATTTACCATTTCAGGCATATTCAGTGGGTTTTAAATTCTCTGTTTTATCATTTAGATAATGTGCTCTATGCTGAATTTTACATGTTCACTGGGTTTTAATTTAGCACATTTTCCAGTCAGCAAAATAAGCAAAATTAAAACCCAGTGAATAATTACTCCCTTTACAGTAGTTTACATTATGAGGTCATGTATTAGGTGATTTGGATGAAATTGTGTCAAATTATCCAATTTGCCCTGATGTTGATTTCGTCCTTCTACATGCATATGTAGACCTATGTTTAGGCATTAAGTCACTTGGCAATAATTTAATGAGCTGCTTTTACGGAATTGCTAAAAAATTCAAACTGTTGATTCAGCTGTGCCAATGTTCGGCACATTGACTTTTACTGTAACACTGACCTGCTGACAGTTAAAAAAGCTTACATGTAATTAAAAATATTTCATTTTCTGTCTTAGATATGTTTGATGTACATGTATTGTTATGTACATACATGTATCATATTTAAAGTCCCAACAGGCATCATGAAAATACATGTATGGTTTGCTGTATTTGCTTTATTTGTAGTGCATATGCTTAACTTAAATAAAACGTCTGTTATATTAGAACTTAAATCCAGCATGCATTAAATGTTGCATAATTTTTGGTTTAGGTTCATTTCTAATAGAATAAATACGGTACTTTTGTTATCGTAGTGTGAATTACAAGCAACAAGCCCTTTACTATTGTCCCTTGTTTATTTCAATTCAGTTCATGTTCAGAAATGAGTATTAATGATGCAAATTAAGTAATCTTGGTACTTAATTTGCAACAAATTTTGTGATGTATTTATTATACCAGTTTGACATTAGATTTCTATTCTAATGTGTTTATAATTATAATTCAGGACTTGTGTGTTACAAAATTAAGTTATTAAAATACTGTATACTGCTTTAGGCAGAGCTTGACTGTCAAAGAAGCGTTGGAGATAGTTTCCTTAATGCCCATTGGGGCTGTCTTTGTACCCTTTGAAATATAATTCTTGCAGTCTGTATGTGCTAAGACAATTCTATAAATCTTGGCTTTGAAAATATGTTCTCTCTCAATAGACCGTTTTTTGTTCAGTGCGAGATCCTGCATTATGCATGAAATTGAATGTAAAAACAGGACAAACAAAGGTCATAGCATTGCGTATTTGTGGTTCATTGCACGTGTATTAATAACATTATATACACTAGTACCATCAATACATGTACTGTGGAATACATTATTTTATTTATTTATGCTGAAAAGGCATTTTGTATCGAATTTATTTTCACTGATTTTGGTGAGTTTAATGTGAAATATAGAAAGAAAAGTATATTCGCTGGATTTTATTTTCACGGAATCATCCCTTCAGCGAAAATAGTGAAAATAAATTCCAAGCAAAAATAAAGTATTCTACAGTATATGACTGCCATCTGATTATTCTCCTTACCTGAATTTGAGGTTATTACATAGTCTGTTCATGACCGTGAAATTACATAATTGTATGAGTACATGTATGCACGGTTACTAAAAAAGACGGTCAGGAAACTCCATTGTTAGATAGTGTGAATCTGCCTAATCCTTCAAGGATGCGTGTCGCGCTGTGTACACCCTCTATTGCTTGAGATTTCAAGGTTCACCATTTTGTTTCATTTTTGTGTCGACCACTTGATGTTCCGCAAATTTGAAATTTTAAGCTTGATAGAATATCCACATTTAGTGAACAAGCTCCACGAAGAACCACATGTACATTTCGGATGAGTACTCTTTGTGACTGTGAAAACAATCAGAATCGAGAATCGTCATTTATCGTTTTCACTGTTGTCATGAGAGTAAGCATGGGTCCCGGTATATATTATAAAAAATACTACCAAATGAATTTTTAGTATACTACTGTGCGTACTTATGAAGGTTGTGTGCGATTTGGGGGCTTATTAGAGTAAATTTTGTTGTTTTGCTTTCGCGTCACTGTATCAGCCATTTTGTTCAAAGTCGTAACACTTTTTTTGTAGACGCCGTAGAAATTGTTGAAAATGTATTCAACATTTTCCGCCAGTTTCATAAAATGCCTGTTTAATTGTTCTTGTCTGTCTTTGTTTCAGTTTTTTTGGAAAATTTTTCATGTTGCAATATTCAGCGTGCCGTTAAATGTGGTTTTTGTCAACACTACAATTTTTGAACACATTGAACTGTCGGTACAACTTTCTAGCAGTCTCTTCGCCAAATCAATTTTTCAAACCCTTTTTAACCGTTCTTAATTTCATTGGAACTGCCTGTTGTTGCATATTTGGTCTGCTTTACATGCATTTTGTAGAGCATGGGCGGGTCATTTCAGTTATCTTTCAGCATATTTTGTTTATTTCCAACAAAATGTACGTGGTATCATGGCTCCTCATTAAAACTTTCGCCTGCTGAAATATAACACTTATATGGTTTCTTTGACGTCTTTTTTCTTATAATGTTTTGTTGGTTTTTTTATTTCAG